AAATACCCTCATCAGCGTGTAATAATAATTTTTAGTAGGCTATTATCTAGAATTTTCCCTTCATTTTCGAGATTAATCATTTATGGGGTTCATACTATTCACGGTACATTAAAAAAAAAATCATTTACCTCACATTCAGCCATGTATAAATTAATCTACATGCTTAATTGAATGTTTGAAAGTTTATGTTTTTGTTTGTCTATATAAGGACAATTGATGATGTTGTTGGGAATATAGGCATATCCTCTAGCTGTAGCTTACTATACATTATGGCACTTTTATATTTATAATATTAAAAAATAAAATGTTATATCAAATGATATCAAGACAAGAAAATTGGGTTGGTTTCAAAATTAATAAATTAACTTCATATGCACAGTTCTCATTTAATCATGATTTGGACCCTTCTTTTGCCTAACTTGCTAGAAAATCTGTCATTTTTTATATATTAATTTCGTGGTCCCCTGTGCCGGAGGCATTAATCTACTGCTTATTGATCGTTTGGAGAGCTAGAAAAAAAAAATTTTTTTTGGGACTCTCTTTAAAAATTATATAAATATATAAACAGCGAGAACAGATGAAATTTGGGTTTCAATTTTTTTATGTTTATTAACCATTTATCAGTACTTACATGACTCCCCTCATTGTAAAATTTGATGCTTTGCAGGTGCTTTCCTTTATGGGAGGCCACTGCTTTTTTCCTTTTTTTTGAAAATTAGCGATGGTGCTTTGCATGTGGTTGGACTTGTTAATCCAAAATGTATCATTTCTCTTCCCAATCCAGAATCATCTCCTTTTTTTCGTTGGGAGCTGCACCATTTTGTAGTCTTCTTGTGTGAATCAGCTCAAATCGTACCACCCTTTTTTACGAGTCGTGAAAAACGTTATCACGCATGGAAAAAAAGAGGGAAGATTATCATGATAATAGCATTGGTTATTTTCAAGGTGTTGTTAAATCAAGCAACAATGGTGAAGCCTATTCAAGCGACGCATGACAAAGCCTTACTGTTGGCTTGATATAAACCTTCAAATATTTAAGGTTCACATGATTTTTTTAATAGTCAATACAATTTTACATTTTTCCCTGTGTAAAAATAGTGGGCAACATCTACAAAGCTTTTTAGCTCAAACAAGGAAATCAAATTTGGTAGCCAGGAGTGATCAGTAATGCCACAATATGCAGGAATTTTTTTTTTTCCCTTTAAATTGCACCATAAAAAATAACTTTATGTTACAAAGATTAAAAAAATTAAAATATTTTAATAATAAAAA